AGGTCAGGTTGGACGGGGCTCTGAGCAACCTGATCTAGTTGACGATGTTGCTGCTCCTTGCAGGGGGGTTGGACTAGGTGACCTTTAAAGGTCCCTTTCAACCCAAACTATTGATTCTATGGTTCTATGACTTAAGTATTGCATTAACCAGTCATGCTTATAACCCTCTAATTTATAGGTAATGAACTTAATTCCAAAATGGATAGATACCTTAAAATCCACTTAAGAAGCTATGGCTTAAGTTAGCACAACTTCATCTATGATCAAATGAGTTTCTGCAACTTAAAGTGTCTTACTGTTGGCTAATGCTTTAGTTGCACATTGATGTTCTGATGGTAGCAGGCTATGTACTTGTGTCTCTCCATCCTTTTCTGCTTGGGTTTATCATAGAATCATAGAATAGTTTGTGTTGGAAGAGACCTCTAAAGGTCATCTAGTCCATCCCCCCTGCCGTGGGCAGGGACATCTTCAACTAGATCAGGTTGCTCAGAGCCCCGTCCAACCTGACCTCGAATCTTTCATCTCATTGGTTGGGCCACCTCATCTCTTTCTACATCTGCTTTCAAACTTGGATCTGTGACATGGTGTTCATGGAAAATTGAATGTCTCTAAGCCAATCTCAGTTTGCCAAACAGTTGTCCCACATTCCCCCAGCTGCAAGCTACCTGCCTGCACTACTGCAGTGATCACTGAGCCTGCTCGGTTTACCAAGTGGGATTATGATCACCTGGGGCAGGAATGGTTGTTGTTGCTAGGAAGGAGGACTTGTCTCTGGTGGTAAAGGATAGGGTTAGGGAATACTGAGACAAACTGCAAATACCCAAGTCCATGGGCCCTGATGGGATGCACCTACAAGTGCTGAGGGAGCTAGCAGATGTCATTGTGAGGCCACTCTCAATCATCTTTGAAAGACTGTGGTGATTAGGAGAGGTGCGTGATGACTGGAGGAAAGCAAATGTCACTCCAACCTTAAAGATGGGCAAGAAGGAGGACCCAGGGAACTACAGGCCGGTCAGCCTCACCTTGATCTACAGGAAGGTGATGGAGCAGCTAACCCTGAAAACCATTTTCAGGCACATGAAGGACAAAAAGGTGACTGGGAGTAGTCAGCATGGCTTCACCAAGGCAAAAGTCATGTTGAGCAACCTGATAACCTTCTACGACTAAATGACTGGCTTGGTAGATGAGGGGAGAACAGTTGGTATTGTCTACCTGGACTTCAGTACGGTTTTTGACATTCCTCATAGACAAGCTGATGAAGTATGGGCTAAATATGTAGATGGTGAAGTGGATTTAAAACTGGCAGAATGGCTGCGCAGAGGACCTAGGGGTCCTTTGCTGCAATGCACCCTTGCAGCAAACGCGGCTAATGGTATCCTGGGCTGCATTATACAAAGTGTTGTCAGCAGGTTGAGGGAGGTACTCCTTCCCCGCTGCTCAGCACTGGTGAGGCCACACACCTGGAGTACTGTATCTAGTTCTGGGCTCCCCAGTACAAGAGAGACATGGACGTAGTGGAGACAGTCCAGTGAAGGACCACTCTCTTATGAGGAGAGGCTGAGAGAGCTGGGACTGTTCAACCTGGAGGAGAGAAGGCTTGGGGGAATCTCATCAGTGTGTATTAAATGCCTGAAGGGAGGGTGCAAAGTGGACAGAGCCAGGCTCTTTTCAGTGGTGCCCAGTGACAGGCCAGGAGGCAATGGGCACACACTGACACACAGGAGGTTCCCTCTGAACATCAGGAAACACTTTTTGACTGTGCGGGTGGCTGAGCACTGGCACGGGTTGCCCGGGGAGGTTGTGGAGTCTCCATCCCTAGAGATACTCAAAAGCTGTCTGGACACGATCCTGGGCAGTTGGCTCTAGGTGGCCCTGCTTGATCAAGGGGATTGGACCAGATGACCACCAGAGGTCTCTTCCAACCTCAGCCCTCTGTTGATTTTTAGTCACGGGGGATAGTCACGGGGGAAGCTCTTGTGCTGCTGCTTCCATGCACTGCTTCATAACATGGAATTCAGTTTGGAGGATGTGTTTATGCTGTATCAAAGTAACCACCTTAAACCAGTCAAAGTATTGTGTGGTAAACGAGCTCCCGGTGAGTTCTGTGATGGTGTGGCTAGCCTTTTCAAGTGTCTGAAGTAGTTGGTTTAATGGTAGTTCAAAGGTTTGTTCAACCCTTAAGTATAGTCTTACCTAGAGCAATACAAGATCTGGTCAGGTTCATTGTGAGCTGTGGTCATGCTCGCTGTGAAAACAATTTTCTCTGAATCTTTTTGCAGTGTATTATAATAATGTGAAAGTAGTTCTCTAAAACATGTTGAAAACACCCTACAGCAGATATATTCTACGGCAGAAAGCAAATATTATTTATTTGAGCAAAACTTTCCATTTTGCTTTTTCCTTTCAAGTCTTAGCACTGATCAGTATTTTTTATTAGGTTCCCCCATTACTGCAAACTTAGTTTTTGATTCTCTTCTGTACTGATGTTTTAATTATGCTTTAAAAACCTACATGTTTTCATCAACGGATTTGAAGCATGCATTTTGCAGTCCTTGCACAATTTTGGAGCAATTTGCGCTACAGCAGCACTTACCAGCCAGTGACAGTCTTTTGTTTTCCTATACTGATCAGTTTTTCTCTGACGTACAGTTGTTGGTTCCTTAACCCCTTAGATGTTCTCACTGTGGCGGAACGCTGTCACGTCTGAGTAAAATGGCAATGTTTCTAATGGGGTGCATGTGGAAGCATTTGTGTATTTTTCCCACAAAAGTCTTAGTCAGCAGGGAGGCTCTTAACTAACTACCAAGTGTTTTGATGTATTGTTAGTGTGCTAAGCCTATCCTGGGATCTTTGATAAGCGTCTAAACCAAGAATGCACTATCTGTATACGATTGCTATGCGGAAGAAAGAAAGAAGATTGATGAAGAATATTTATCTAACAAAAGGCAACTTGAATTTTAGTATTCAGTGTAGTTTTGGTCTGAATCTAAGAGTTTACCTTTTTTTGCAGTTTGCTGTAGAGTTGGTATGCACTTACGTGACACAAGCTCGGTATATGTGACTTTGAAAACTTTTTATTTAAACCCGAGGATATGTTTCTTGTCTTACGTCCATTAGCTCCCCTGTTTGTTGGGGACAGAAGGGCAAATATTTGTTTTGGGATTCAAGAACCTATTTATGTTGTCAGAAGCAATATCTAGTTGAATTGTAATGTGTTACACAGCTTGTGCATTCTTGACTTCTGTGGCATAATATTCCATGATGTATTATAACCTGACGTAAAGTCAGATATTTGGGGGGCAGGAGACATTATCTGGAGCAAATATCAACCTGTTCTTGACATTTGTGAGCTGGTTCATTAATCAACCAAATTGCATACTCATAGCTCAGCGCAACTCTCTAGTATCTTAAATATTAATTTCAAATGACAGAAAAGCAATGAGAATAGGAGTAAGGTTTTAACATAACGTCTGAGACAATTCATCGTTTTCAGGTGATAGTAGCTAAACACTGGTTTTAATCTAATCATATTTTGTACATTTTTAAAGGCTGCTGTATCTTTTTAGGATGCTTTCTGACTTGGTGAGTGATCTCATTTGTGTTCACCCCCACCAGATTAAACTACTTCTTTTGTGAGGAATCTTGGTGACTGTTTCTGTTTTTATTTTAATTTCAAGGTAGTTAATCATCTTTGAATGATGATCATCTAGTAATCATCTACCCTTACCCTGCTAAGGGTAGATTTGGAAAATACACCCCATAAAAGTCTTCATAATCTTTACAACATTTATGGGTAAGGCTGATATTATTTTATTAGATAATCAAGTGTAGTTGAAGACGTAGATGTGCTTTTGATACACAGATGTAAGCTGTGAAATAGAAACGGCTGACTTCAGAGGTAAATACAGGTTGAGAACTGTTGCTCAGTCACATATCCCTGAAGAAAAAAGACAGCTGGCACTTATGGTGTGGACAGTGATAAGGATGATAAAATGGTTGTCTTTGGGGGAAGGAGAGAAACTTCAGCTTGTTTTTCATAGATGATGATTTGAAGTTCTTGTACGGCGTGAAAGGTGCAGTGGCATGGGAGTTCACTTTTCTGTGGGGTGGGTGGTAGCTGATCTGGCTTCCAAAGCTGTTGAGTTGTCTCATCTGGGTGTAGTGGGGTGGCTGGTTTGGCTTTTCTGGTATGTGCAAGGATACTCTGTTAGGTAGGCATCGCTGGCCAATGGCTCTTTTAAATGTCTGGAAATACTGCTGGATGCTAGGTAGCTCAGGGTCCTGACGAAATAAAGTTTTAGGGTTTTCGTGGAAGAGTCCTTAGGGTTGCTAAGAGTCCTTAGTTTTTAAAGATTTGTCAGAAACTTGCTTGCTTGCTTCCTGAGGGAATTTCTGCAAATTCTGTGCTACTTTGAGTATGTTTTTAGTAATTTCTCTCTTGCCATTCCTCCCTGTAATATTCCCCCTACTAACATACTACTTACATTTGTGAAACCCATATGCTTTATATTAGTTTGTGTTTATTCAATTTCTTGAGAGGTCTGGTGCGCAGTTTGCTTGCAGCTCTTTCTGTACTTCTTACTGTACCCTCAACGGCAGGACCATTTATTTATTCCTTAGGTCAAAGTCACTGCTGGTCTTGTATAATTTAAACACTACCACTTTCAATTTTTCATCATTAGTTCTTAACCACAGCGAGAATGCATTTCTTGCAAGACTCCTCTGGTTGCCCATATATTTGTAGTGCAGCTCTGCAGCGTATTTATGGTAGTGCTTTGTGTTATGAGTGTGGGAACACTAAACTTGACACTGCATGTTTGGATACGCTTTGAGCAAAACCAGTGTACCGAAAAATATAAGATGCACATATCTTCAGTCTTTTTACAGGATTATTTAATGCATCAAAAAATAATATAAAACATACTGAAGACAATACTCTGGCTAATGACTGTCTCTGTTGTGGCAATACATGCATACAAAAGGATTTAAGGACTTCCTCTAGAATTTTTCTTTTAAATGCAGTGGCAGTTTCTTTGAGGGGATTAAAAAAAACAACAACCAACAAACCAAAAATCCAAACCAAAACAACCTTATAGCTCATACTGGAGTTTACCTCTAGACTGACATGTGTTGATCATTTGTACTTACATTAATTAAATTTTTTTCCATATGTGGGCAACAAATATCAAATAATTGCTGGCTAGGATTACTTCTGCTAGTAAAATTCCTTTAATATTTTCATGCATGGTAAAAAGACATTGGATGTGCAATTACCAAATAAATAGGGAAACAAAAGCAACTGGAAGACTTCGGTACCATATTATTTGCAGTGTATTATTAAAATTAAGTAGTAAACATCCATGAATAGTGACTTTGTAAAGGAATGATACACACTTTTTTCAAAGGCATTGGTGTTAAATACGCACGTGCTTGAAAGAGGCATAATGATTTTTCCTGTTTGAGGTAGTCATCCTAATAGCGTATATCAAATTTGCTTCTGTAGTACAATAGAGACCACTTAAATGCATATATTGAAACTGAAATCTTCCTGTGAAACCGAGGGTGTGATGCACAGAATATCTGCATTTGACAGAGATCTTATGGGTTTCAGTTTCCTAGCAAATGCTCAACTCTTCATACTTCGCAGAAGACTCCTGTGTGTCAGTGGAAGGGGAATGTTACGCTTGGCTTTTACTTGCTTTAGTAAATGGATTTAAGTGATTAAATTCTACCACTTAACTATCTATTTCACTAATCATCTGTTTCAAATGGATTGGTCAGTAAGCATGCCTGTTTATATATTCTAGTGGCCCTTTTTCTAGTCATTAATTTTATACAGGTTTTATTGTGGATAGTAGTATGTTGAAAGAAGTGTACCCTTCTGTGGTTTTATTGTGTGCTTCCTAAACATGGTTTTAAGCTGAGTCTTCTTCCTTCCTAATCTCAAATAGAGGTCTTGTGAAGATTCAGAAGCTGTTGGTGTCATCTTTGATGTATTTTTGACACACAGTTACTTAAAGATTTAAATCTTCAGCCTGAGCATAATGATGAAAGATCTGTACTTTTTTATTGCATGCCTTAACTTTTTGAGTAGTTTAAGCCTTGCAAGAATTAGTTACTTAAGATTTAAATCTTCAGCCTGAGCATAATGATGAAAGATCTGTACTTTTTTATTGCATGCCTTAACTTTTTGAGTAGTTTAAGCCTTGCAAGAATTTCTTGAAGTTATGGCCTGCCTGAAAGAACAGAGGCCTTCAATAAACTTCCTCAAACAGCTAAATCTTTTGATTAGCCATTAAGTGTGTAGAAATAATGTTTAAAAATGCAGAAGCAGCACATCTGTAGTAATTACTGATAGGACTTCAAAAAATGCTGTGTCAGAAAGTGAAAGAAAAGTGTCAGCTGTTTATTTTATAACACCTAGTAAGGCTCTACCTTTAATATTAATTTTTATTTTTAAGGAAAAAAGTTAAGTATATATTATACTGTAAAAACAAAGTGGGGAACAGAAAGAGAGGAAGTCACTCAAGGTTTTGAACAGCATCTAATAATTTATTTGTCATAAGTGCTGAATACTGCTTTTGAAAGTAAGTGTAATGCTGGATCTCATGTTCCTCAGCAAAAATTGAGAATATTTTAAGAACCTTGACTCTGTTAGGAGCTTGCAAACATTTGATTTTAAGTTGTTTTTTACAGTGTTCAAATAAACTGCTTTCTTTAATCTATCTGCTGTAGAATAATCTTGTTTCTACTTCGTAATGTGGGCTAACTTGTGAATAATTAATGTGCTTTCGGGCAGGACATTTTTCAGGATATTATGCCTGTTATCTTGAGTGTTTGCTTTGGTCTGAGGATTTAATTGTGCTTGATGTGTAAGTAATTACGTTTGTTGGGGAGTTTGGACTGTGTGTGCAGTTTAAAATCAAATACAGCAATGGTAGTAATTATTTTGATGATCCTGTACCGACTGAGAATTTAAGGATGATACAGAATGTGGCAAAGATACGTGGCTCAGCATGAGGAATAAAAATAAAATTCAGTTAATTTTAAACCAAAACATAGTGATTCACTAAAATGAGCATTTGTAGTGCTGTGAAAATGGATCTGCTGTAGATCATTCCCTGTTTGTAAGAAAGGTAAAAGAAAAATCCTACTTGGTTTGGACCCAGCTGGGGCAAAAGCTATATTTTCAAATTTTTTTCCTGCAAGTAAAGCAGAAGTTAAGGCAACATCGCTGTTCAGAAAACAGCACTATGGGGCAATTCTGAAATAAGCGGTTACATGGGACTGGCAGCTTCGGTGTGAAATCGGGAATTGCTTTCATTGTTCAGATAGGGCTCCCCCGTCTCCCTGTTGGTGGCCAGGCTGCATGGATGTCCCAGGCTGTGCAGGGTTTCTGGATTTGAGGGCAGCTGGTGGCTTTACCTGCCGGCTGGGGATACAGGCAGGGCAGAGTGCCAGCGGACTGGAGAGTCCAGAAGAACTGAAGTCACCCCATCTGGGGCAGTCTCAGAGCTGCAAATGTTTGGGGCTTACCTTGGGGCTCCCAAGACCCGAGTCTTGGACTAGAAGTTCTCAAAGTCTGCTGACGCTCTCGGAGCTGGAAGTGGGTTTTCTTACTGAGAGATGCCGGGAGCCCTGGCACAGTTGGGTTGTTGTGGGCTGGTGGACCCTGAAAGCACCTGGGTTGCAGGCGGGGGACTTGATAAAGGAGCTTCGGAGCAGCAAGTACAGGAACCTCTGCAGTGAAGTGGATGCTCTCTCAGTTTTACAGCTAGTAAGTTTTGGCAGAATAGATCTATTCAAAGCCACTTCCAACATTGTGTGTTAAGTGCCAGATGATTAATGGAAAGTACATTGCATGTGTTTGCAAGGCCCAGTGATGATTAATAGCTACTAAAAGCCTGTAACAAATAAATTGCTGTGGTGTCTATTTTGTGAATATACCATTAATGTAAGTTTGAATACAGATCTTTTTTTTTTCTTTTTTTTTTTAATCCATGCTTGGTGGAAACTACGGAATTCCAAACAAACTTTACTTTTTTTTTGGTGATAAAAGGTCTGTTATCTTTAACAAGAAACATTGACAGATTATATCCAGGATGGAACAAATACTGTGCTTTTCAAACAGGAAAAAGTACAGTTGGAAATTGTCCTGGGGTGGTAATGCTTTTAGTGATTTTTATTTCCTGAATTTTCTCTGTCAGTCTGTATACTGCTTTTGTTCCCTCTCCATTACAGTTGCCTCTTCCCCACTACCATTACACGTATATACCCTCTCTCTCTCCCTCATGGCATCAGTTTTAACTGTGGAGGTCAGTGCTTATACTGTTTGTTTGGTTTGTGAAATAAATTGTCAAAAGCGACTCTAAACATCTATTGATGGAAGACTGTGGCTAACATTTTAAAGTACCATCAGACACTTCCTTCTGTGTGGGTATTAGTCAATTGTCTATATGCTGCACAAAGCTCACATGGGCCTCTGCAGTTCCTCAGCCAGGGGAGAGGGAGCGATCTCTTAACTGCATCTGTCTGAAAACATCACAGTATTTCCCAGAGTACTTGCTGTCAGATTAAATGCTATGGTAATTGTAAAGGTTTTTTTCATGTAACAGTATTTTTATGAATCTGAGTTAAATCAAAATAAAGGATGTTGTGAGGTTTCTCATCTCTGGCATTTGGAAGACATTTAATTTTAAATTTTGTTTACATCAAGCACATACTTTTTTATTCTCTGCGCTTACCTTTAAAAGAAAGTAACACCACAGCTGTTTTTTTCCACAGTTAGAAGAAGAGTAGCTGCTGGATATTTGAAGTACTTGTAACTTTTTATAGTAATAACTTATTTTCAGTAAGACAAGGGCCATTGGAGCAGTAAGCAGGGTGCCATATATATTGCCATATGTACTAAACATTAAAAAGGAACTTAGCTGTATAGAGCTTATGTATATAGATCTTAACTTCAGTCCAAATTGCAGCCTTCGTGGCTAAATACCTATGTTGGCAGAGCTTTAAAGAGATGCTAGCAGAGGGCTGGTGTGACTGAGGAAGAGGATGAGGTGAAAATGTGAACTTAACATTGTTGTCTCATGGCGACTTTGTTTTCCTGGTTTTATAAGTGGAACACTAGTAAACACTTTCATCTGAGTTTAATTTTAGTTGGAAGAGCTTAGAGCAAGACCTTTAGTTAAATGCACGGAGATAAGCACTTCGGCGGTTAACTTTTGTGCTTTATACAGGTTGAATGTGTGGATGAACCTGAAATGGTAGATGAGGCGCTTTCAAAGACAGGAAGCCGTCTGCTCTGCCTGCGCTTGTGGGAGAACCTGATGGTTCCATGTTGTTTGTAGCTGGGACTCTCCGATGCGTGATCCGCGCTGTGTTGATAGGCTGAATTACCAGCTGTATCTCAATTTAGAAAGGTCCTGACTCATAAGCTGTGCTGATGACCCTAAAGCTGAGCCAATATCTGTATTTCTCTATCTTGCTAGACACATCCTGACAAGGTGTCACACAGATGATTTTTTTTATTTTTTTTTTTTTTTCTCCTTACCTAGAGAGGTCTGTTAATGCCCCTGTAGGTTGTACTGTTTTCTTAGGGTTATTGTTTCAAGGCCAGTTGAAATAAAGACTAGTTACAAACCAATACCATGTAACTTTATGAATTTAAGGTAGGTAGTGTAGGCTTTCCGTGTAGTGGTGGACCTCCTGAGGCAACAGAGGACACCCCTCTGTTGCCACTGTACCACTTGCCTTTATATACAGCAATGTTTTATTCATTTCTATTAGGCCTTGCTCTTCTGAAATGTTAAAAAGACCGAAGGTGTGGTGACAGAAACAGCTTATGTCTTCTACTGGAAGTGATCATTACCCTTTAGCAAATGCTGGTTATGACTATAAGCATTTTTACCTTCGTATATTAAAAATATAAAAAAATGTTGTTTGCTTTTGGTTTTTGGCTTTTTTCTTTGGTTTAAGTTTACCACTAGGGTTCACCAAAAGCTTTCTAAAAAATAATGTCAGTATCAAGCAGTTTAGTGGATAATGTGCTAGAGTGGGGTGGGTTGTCCGACTTGTAGGAACTTGATATCTGCTATTTAAAATTCATCTTTGAAAGCAAAGAAAAGGTAAATTAGAAAATGTAATAAATTGTGGATAACTACAGGCCTTGAAGTCTTAAAAGTAAGAAAGTGACATATCATCTC